GAGGAGGAAAGCCACCCACACCACACGGGGTAGGGAAAGAGCTGATTGCTTTTTCAGCAACAGAAGGTTTAGGGTCTAGGGTTGCGGGGCTTTGGGTTTCTTAGGACACCACCCGCACCACAGGGGGATCTAGTCAATTACCAGAATGCTGGCAACCGTCCTTATGCCCGCACCATACCATTGGGCGGGGAGTGCGGGGGCTGACCACCGCTGCACCATGTATTGGGGATACTGGGTTCTGTGGGAGCACATTCTTTGTACATGCACATCTACACAACTATCCCCATCCACTTACTAATTTCAACAGCCCCATGATAATCACTACATTAGGGGGTGTACTTCTTAATTTTATCCTCCCCCTAAGCCTCCAAATACTCCCAATACTTTAGAATATACAACCTAATGGGAAAATTTTAATATTCGGGGGGCGGGGGTGCTCAATCTTAGGGGGAGTGGATTCCCCAATAATTACTAGTTTCCACTTTTCCATTATATTATACCCCTATATGCCCTACTTCTTTGTTAGCCTAAACCCTTTGCAGCAGGCTTGCAACTCTCCATGCCTGGTTTAAGGCCGAAGCCCAAGGATCTCAGATTACCCTAAACCCTAGACCCTAAACCCTTAACCCTAAACCCCTAAACCCTAGGCCCTAAACCCTGTTGGCTGAGGGCACTTAAGAGCCAAGCCATGCTTCATCGAGTTGAAGGGTTCGGCTTCTGTCATTGGCCTGCGGTCGAATCTACAAGGATTTTGCCAAAAATGGGGGGGAGGAGTCCCTTTGAAGGGTTTGTAGGGCATATATGAGGATATATAGGGATTTGTAGAGAAGGCCTAGGGCTTCCAACAATTTCAGGTTTTTGTTTGGGGAGTCCTCATAGTCTGGATTCGTAATGATTAAGGGTACACAAGGATCACCCCAATTTTGGAAACCCCCACACTTGTGAGCCAGGTCCGGTGGGATGAGGAATCAAGGCCCCTAAACCAATAGTCCCCCTTAATTAAGTAGATAGAGCATGGGTTATATGGTGATCTTCTTATAGTATACCCAGAGCCATAGTCTATCTACTTAAGAGGCCCTATAAACCTTACTGAGTCACAAGCTTTCGAAGGCCCTTCATGCTGAATGTTTGCCAGGTCCTGCAGCTTTTCAAAAGCCATGGCTATACATGGGGGCTTCCCAAAATTAGGGGCACCGTTTTGGGGATCCCTCTAATAAGGACTATAGTATATTGCGATCTGTATTGGGGCCCCAGTACTTTTGGGAAGCTACCACATGTGTCTTTGAGCGGCATGCTGCCTCAAGGCCATGAGTATAGTATAGATTAGTCATTAGTCCAAGGCTTCCATCTGAAAAAAGGATGTAGACAGTGGGGGCTGAAGACTCAGAACTTCTCAAATATTCGCCTCTAACAAGTGCCACTTGCTCGCTGCAAGCCCTGAAAACCCTTTGCTCCCTTCACAGCCTTGAGTGCAGCAATCCGTGGAAGCTGACCATGGCCTGCCACCAATTTCACTGATCTCTGTCATGCTCTTGCGCTGAAACAGCAGAGGAGACGATACAGAAGATCTTCATCCCATTGCATTCGCGACGTTCCCCACTCAAGGTCATGTCTGTGGGTGTCGCCAATCCAGGTGCCGAACAAAAGACACGCTGCGCCTGGATTTGATGCCCAGCACGGACCTGACCGGGCAAGAGTAGATGCATGTGAAAGTTACAAACACGCCAGCAACAACTCTGATCAAACTCTCCCAGGTGAGTGAATCTCGTTTTTGCAAAGAAAACTTCCGGGACAAAGAGCTCCAGCCACTTGCACTTGGATCCCCAGATGCTTACAAAATTCCAACGCAGATCGTACGTGGAGCTGAGAAATGATGAGCTGTCTCGAACCAGCCAAGCAGCGCAGGGTCAGATTAGTGGCAGAAACACCTGCCTTCAGGCGCTTAAGGGAGAATGGAGATGATCTCAATGGAAACACCCTGGAATAGTACCTATATGACTGCATGCCCTTCTCGCTTGCCCTTGGCACCGGGAAATGTTGGGGCGTGGGCAGGTTCCTCCCAACCTGCTCCAAACAGCTCTGGCCGCCCAAGCAGTAGCCGATGGCCCCAGCGCAGCCACTCTTAACCTCGACGTCTCCAGCATACTTCTGCTACGAGTACCCAACGACGAAAAAAGTGCTACGCATAATTAGTGAAACTGGATATATCTAGCGTCACAAGTTACCTCGTATGTCAGTATTCGTCAGCATTCTGGAGAGAAACTGGATACATCTAGCGTCACAAGTTACCATGTATGTCAGGATTCGTTTACATTGTCAAGAGAGAGAGAGAGAGAGAG